CCCCAAAACCCCAAAACCCCAAAACCCCAAAACCCCGAGGGGGTATACTTTTATAGAATTGATTCATTATTGCATAAAAATGTGGAAATTAATAAGGTCTTATCAATCTTTCTCTATTTGAACGACTTCTTACAACTCCTAAATATTGATATTCAATCTTTTGAACCAAGTCGTCAAGATCATTGGTCTCATCAAAAATATCAGCTGAGTTCAAAATCTCTCTAAAACAATCAATTATTAAGAAATAAAGCAATAAAAAGATATTATATGAATAACAAAGCAATAAAACCCGATGTCTGCTGATTTATTCTACTTCACTTACTTGTCATCTTTATGATCCTCAATTTGTTTTAGCATGTGCTCTGGTTCTTCTTCAATTGGTATTGTGAACACTACCAAAGTCCCTTTCTTTGCCTCTGATTCTAAGTGAATGCTGCCTCCAATGGCCTCCACATATTTCTTGCTGATGGTGAGGCCGATCCCTGTTCCATTTGGGTTGATTGAGTTTGGGTCGGAGACCATGCTGAACAGTTTGAACAACTGTTGTTGCTGTTCTTCGGTGATGCCGATGCCAGAGTCTTCAACAGCGAATTCGACAAAAGTGTTCTGCCAGTCTCGAACAATTTTTCACTCAATTTTGATATATCCATGGAAGGTGAATTTCATAGAATTTGATATCAAGTTGAGTATTACCTGCTTGATTCTGCCTTCATCTGAATTCAATTCAAGTCTCGACACTTCTTCAGTCATTTCAAGCCTGAAGTCCAAGTTCTTTCTCAAACACTGCATTTCGAAGATGTCGAATATTTCATCGAGCAGAGCCTTCACCGAGAACACACTCTTGGTGAGCTTGAAAGTTCCGGCCTCCATCTTGGACAGGTTCAACACGTCTTCAATGAGCGTGAGCAACAGGAGCGAGGAACTCTTTCCGATTTTGACGAACTTGGTGACCATGTCTGTGTTCAACTCTGCAGCTTCTTTCTTGGCGCCTCGGAGCTGCCGCAAGTACGGCTTCGATATGTTGTGCAATTCTTGGAACGAGTTGAGTACGATGTCGAAAGAGTTGGTGATCGAGTTGAGTGGAGTCCTGAACTCGTGTGAAGCCGATGTGAACATAATCTTCTGACACTTGATATTGTTCTTGGCTTCCTCGAGCTTGATCACATTAGTGTTATCGACAAAAACATGCATGAAAGCATTGGTTCCTTCCCACTCGACCATCAGCGTTTTGACGTTGCAGGTTCTATGGGCTTCGTCATCTCTGTCTTTGTATATCAACAAGTTGCCTTGTGGGTTGCAGTGGATCTTGATATCTTGGTCAACCATTGAGTCTTGGTCATCAAGCATTTGCTGCTGAGACTTCAACAACTCCTCTAAATCGTGTGGAATGGTTTGGTGTACATTTGCTTCATCAGAGTTGTCGATGAACGAAATGTCGATGTCTTTGAGATCGGAGAGGTCTTTCCTGATCTTCGTAAACTTATTAGTGAACTCTTGGTTGGTAAACCACTTTTCGTTGGCTTTAGTTGGCCAGATGACAACACCAAAGGGGAGAATTTGCATGACTTTCTTCATTTCTTTGATGAGTCGCTTGTTTTTGAGAATTTCTGAATACATATTTCTTGTTTTGATAATTAACAAGTAGCTCGAAATGGTGAAATATAGACAAGAAAAGACAACACTTGAGATAACGTCAGCATCGTAAAGATCATAGGTGTTCCAGATACCATAAGCAAGATAGACCATTGATAAATTGTGAGCTAAAACGCTCGATTTCCATTGGTTTGGCACAAGAGTCATCAATAAGTGTCACATAGATACATTAGAAATGTGATATTCACTAAGACGATAATAATCTTTCTTTAATGTTAATGCAATTCACATATATGTTCCAGCACAGATTAGTATTGGCACAAAATAGAGCACATAGATTGGCTTATATTTAAGCATTACAAGCATTCAAAGCAACATGATTCAAAATATTAGACAATTCAGGAACTTTTGCCATTCACTATTCAAGTTCTCCTGGTTTTGGTCTAGAATTGTGTAATTTGACCTTTAGATAGTAAAAATTTTAGATTAAAACAAAACAATTTTAGATAGAATAATGAAAACTGAACCAATGTATGAAATTATTTACCATTTCCTTGATTCTTCATGACATTTATATAAGCTAGAGTCCCTATTACTATGCACATAACGATGACACACCAACAGAGCATTCTCATGTACTTGAGGTATGATTTCTTAATAGCCTCTTCAGTCACTTCAGAGATATACTGATCGACCTCCCTCCAATCCTCAGACAAGTACTTCCAAGCTCTCTTGCCTCTGGCCGCTACTTTGGCCACTATTCCTAAAACTCCGCCTGGGTTCTCTACACATAATGGTTATTCACAACTGGGAAGAAGGCGTGGGCCAGGAGGGATGCCAGAAGAGAGGGCTGGGTGGGGAATTTTGGTAAATACAGTTTTGGGGATTGTGGTTGAAGTATTTTTGAGGTTTTTGGGGGTTTTAGTGGTGGATTATTAAGAAAATGGGATTTTTTATGGGTTATTATATCCTGATTATTCGTAAAAATGGTGAAAGTATGTATTTCTTATTCCTAATTTAGTACCAAAGCTCAAAATTTTGAGAGATTCGACTTTTTCTCTTTTCAAGGCTATTAGAATTTGGTCTAATCCCAAAAATTGTAAAAACAACTTCAAATTAGCAAATAACAACTCCCTTACCCTACTAACTCCACTCAACCGCCATCTAACACCCCTTACAAACAAACCACCACCCATTCCAAAGCCCCCACAAAACCTATACCTCACTTCAAAATCCCTCATCCCTATCTCACCTAACCCTACCCCCATTACCAAATCCTCCATGCCCCAAAAATTCCAAACCCCACACAAATCCCACCAGTCCCACTCTATTCTCTTCACTCCCAAATCTCCACTCTAAAATCTACTTTGTACTACAAAATCCTAGCCTGTTCGGCAATTTCTGACTGGAGCCCAGCCAGGATAATAAGGGTTGGCTTACCTGAATTTTGGGGAGGGTATTGGTGTCTTTTTCTTCGGGAATTTTCGGAAGCTGAAGGTGAGGTGAGGTTATTTGGGGGGGTTAGAGTGCGGGAGGAGGATAGGTGTGGAAGTGGGATGGGTTACCTGGGGGATTGAGGTTGGAGTCAGATGACATTTGTATGAGTTAGAGTTATTATTATATAATATGGCATATAGGGGTTTTGGGGTTTTGGGGTTTTGGGG